ATTGTTTGCGATTAAATCAGTATATATTTCTGTCCACCCTTACAGTCTCCATGCCACCCTCTTGCCAACCCATAATAATACCTCTAGATCCGCCCCTGGTTTTCACCGAGTTTTTGGTAATAAAAAAAAAGGCCAATACAATAGAAAAGCACTTTGATACATAAAATATAATGAAAACATTGGTGTAAATTTCAGTAAATATTTCACAGCTGATGTGGTTGTCCAAACTGTAGCGGTTTAGTCCATTAAAACAACAAGTACCAGACCAGTTTATTGTTCTTAAAATCAGTTTCATGTTCGTGACCTGATAGTCCCTTCTCTACTATTCAAGTTTGCAGTCACAGTATACAGAAATGACTTTAAGCAGAGCTAGACCTTAGTTTTTTAAATGTTAAATCTGCTGGTTATTTTCCATCTGATCTTAGTCGGCCCATACAAATGACTCAGTCTTCTAGTCTTAAAAGTCAGTGATTCTATAGCAATAACATAGAGCCAGTTTTTTCTAAATCAAAATGCCCTTTTAATCAGAACACATTTTTGTATGCATCAGAGTTTTTTATGCCCATAATATAGGCCAAACTGTAAGAACCATGGACTGACAAAACTCACTTTATGCGACAATTCACAGTAGATGTGGTTCTAAAATGCAAAAAAAAAGAAAGATTTAATTGACAATTTGTTGTCAGTTTTTGTTTTCAGAAATAGGAAATGACATCCTACCGACAAAGTAAAAACAACATACCATACTTAGGTCCCTTCAAGCTGTAATCACTTGGACAAAAAGCATTGTGTGTAATAATGGCTCTCTCAAATGCTCTGCACCTTAGGAGATGAGTCAGAGCTAAAGTTGATTTATTTCTTTGTCTGCTCAACACAGACAAAGTTGAGGTACTGTTTAAGATATAGGAGTTGTGTTTGCTGAAAGTAGAGATGGAATTTTTATTCAGAACTTGACATTTCAATTTTGGTTATGTCACTGGCCACCTACACAAAGACTTCTATCTATCACTAGTCCAGCTGCTCAGTATAGGATCTGACTACTGTAGCTGTTAAGTCCTTTTTTACTTTTTTAAAGCAACACCCTCCCTGACTGAAAGGCTTCCTCAGGACAGGCTGTTCTTTAAGCACACAATTAAAACACATTTGTTTGCATGACATGAAATTACATCCTTTCTCAATCAAACGTACTCAAACACACTCACGAATAGACTTCACATATTGATGCATGCAGTTTCTCATAGATAAAACAGATCATTCTCAAGTCCTTACAAAAGATTCTGCTAAAAAAACTACCTCTGACTCTCTTTGTTGCACTGTATCCTCCCACTCAGTACCAAGTAACACTATACTCTACAGTGTCTTCCTCCTTTAGTTTCCTCACTAAATTTCTCTTCATTAGTCCACCCCCTGTGTAACTTTTCCGACTTTATACTGGATTAAAATGGTTGGCTCCGTGACAGCTGAAGTACCTCCATGACACTCAGCTGGCTTCTTGTTGTTTTCCAACTCCCACTTTCTCTTGTCAGGCGCCTTCCTAATAACCAGAGGACTACTTTGGTGTTCTGCAGGTTACATTTGATTAGCAGCTAAAAAAAATAAGCTGGTTGTCAATGGTGTGAAATAAGGAACTTTTGAAGACAAGGATACAGCTGTTAATGAGCTGCCTCTACTTTTTGGGGTTGGCAGCACTGGTTTATGTCTGTATATAGTGTGGTATAGTAGTGTTGCGAGCCTTGCCTTACTTCTGGGCTAGCTTCTGTTGTACCAGCTACTGTGCAACCAAGTATTTTTGCATACTAGAAACATATGAAGGATAATAATGCAGTTATTTAGCGCTTACTGGTTATCAGACTAAGCTTTGACTACCCTTTGTGCTGCTTAAGCAAATGTGCAGGACAAAAATTCAACAAAAATAAAATGATTAAACAATTTTGACAATTTTTTACTTTTTCACCATTTAAACGACCAGTGTGTAGGAATTAGTGGCCTCTAGCAGTGAAGGTCTGAAACTGAACAACTGAAACCACTCACCTCAACCAAGTGTGTAGGAGAAACTACAGTGGCCATTAAATTCTGAAAAGATGTAAGAAAGGCCTTATCTACAGCCAGTGTTTGGTTTGTCTTTGTGTGTTTGTCTGAACACAATATATATTCAATTTCTGCCAAAAGATCCTCCTAAATGTTACACACTGGACCTTAAAGCATGAAGAGAATGTTACCCTTACCTTAAAGCATGAAGAGAATGTTACCCTTACCTTAACCACTAGTTTATGCTCAACTCAACCAAACATACTGTAAACTATCAGAAAACACTGATTTGCCATCGACACAAGTACTGTAATTTGTGGAACAGTCAAACATAAGGGAATGTATGTAGGGGAATTGTTAGAGCCAAATATCCATGTAGGAACAACTTGACACCTACTAACATTCATATCAACACCACTCCAAAGATATGCACACATTCAAAAACCAGAAACATTTTGGAATAACAAAAGAATTTCACTGGGCTTATCTAGGGTGATTAATCCCTTTCTCATTTGCTGCCAGACTTGCTCTGTCTCTCCTTTTCTGTCAGTCACACTTTACCTTTTTGTAAAGCCTAGGTAGCTGTCTGAGATCAACCTCAGACTTGCAGTACTCACTGAGCAGTGGCCTAAGAGAGTCGAGTCAAGTTTCGTGTTCCCAGGGGATAAGGGCTATTTCACATCCTCAGAGGCAATCATTAGGAGAGTGTGCAAGGGCAGGACTAAGTTGGCTGAAGTCAAATGGGTTTATGGGTATAGTGGCAGGTGAAAAGGAATCACTGGCTAATTGACTATGTTACAACAAAAATCTTCCCACACCTAATTAATCTTGTATTGGCTGGGAAATTTCTTTAATTAGTTTAGCTGTCAATCATTGGTCAAGACAGAGTAAATGTGGTGTGGAGATAAATGTGAGTCTAGAATATTTTGAATAAGTAGTTGCCAGTACTGCGATTTTTGGCACTGCGGGTACCTTTGCTGTCTCTTTCCCTAAAGGAGAGTCAGAGTTTCCTACTTGGTGCTCTGTCTTAGCCTCATGTATCTGGTAGATTAATGCTAACAAATTTGTCAATCTTACCTCAGCCTACTAGTGTTACTCTCCTTTACTTTATAACAAACAGGTGGGTTTAATTAATATTTTTAAACAGTGTCTGTAAAATATAAGGGTTTGGTTTAGGCTACATTGCATATCTTATGCTTTTGTGTATATAGTTATTCTTCTTGGGTAAAAATAATTATTTTATGATTCTCTTTTTTTTTGCTGTAGCCTAGAGTGCACTGGGCAGCTATGTTATTTAGGTAAATATAAGTATTACATTGGCCTTGCTATCGGCTCAAACTCAATATTGAAGGATTTGAATCAGGACTGGTTCCAAAAAAACTTTATCCGGCTATCCCTTGTGTGTGCTAGACTGGTGGTTTGATTATATAAACCTTCTCACTGGCTGACTCTTGCATGAAATTCCCCTCAGTCCCCAATTCAGTGTATAGTGTGGTATAGAAGTGTAGCAAGCCTCGCCCCACTTCTGGGCTAGCCTGTGTTCCTCTAGATACTGAGCAAACCAAAGTATGTTTGCATTCTAGAAACACATGAAACATAATATTGTGTTTCTCTAGTGCTGCAATAATTTATTGATGATCAAACCAAACTATCCTAAGCACTGCTCAAGCAGGCTGCAGGGAAACACTGTTGTTGCATTCACAATTTGTTGTTGATGTTAACCTGGTACACCACCAGTAAAATATCATAACTTGTTAACTTGGGGAACAGAAACTTGTCCTAGTCTTCCTTTTGTATTTACACTCTGATGCCCATTTGAGGGCAACTTGCTGATGACACAATTGGAAATGTATGAATTTACGTTAAGTTCACAAGGAGCCAAATGCATCATTGGGTTTGGTTTTGTTTGAGCTGGATCTCATTTAAGGAAGAGCAGGTGCCCTCTAAGAACACCTTCGTGGGCTGCATTCTTCGAAGGTTTCCGCTCATCAGTTAGGATGCAGCTAACATCTTTCTCTCCTTTACTCACACTGATAAATTCATTTGATTCATTAAGACCTCATTCTCACTTTCTTCCTCAGGCGGGCCGCCCCCTCGGCTGAATTCTCAGTGGACCGGACCCGTCACATCATGTCCTTCCTGACCATGTTAGGGCCCAGTCCAGACTGGAATGTGGGTCTGTCCGCAGAGGACTTGTGTACCAAGGAGTGTGGTTGGGTCCAGAAGGTGGTCCAGGACCTGATCCCTTGGGATGCTGGCACTGACAGTGGGGTGACATACGAAGTTAGTAATAACATTCAAACATTTTGATATGAATTACTAAGAAATGCAGTTTATTAAAACATTGTCTCACCTCTCACATTTATAGAAATGTAGATTTAACACTGTACTTGTTAATTATTTTGTGAAACTTCCTTTTCAAAATTATGAAATAAATAACTTAACATTTTATCCCAATGAATGTATGCCTCAACTAAGGACACAACCCAACAGTCCCATAGCAATCACAGCCTTTTGCAAACCGTTATTCTCTCCACCTTTTATAGCCTGGATAACCTTCCTTCTCACTCTCATCACCAGTTGAGTCTTGCCTTCACACTCACATTTTTGACCTTGTCATTATACTGACCTTTTCTTCTTCATCTGCCTGTCTGCTAACCTTCGCAATCACTCCCTCTCTCACCTCTTCACATACTGCCAGTGTGCAACAATTCAAGTGTCATCACCCATCCAATTCTCCTTTTAACAGCCTTGAACGTCGTCCCCTTCTGCCCTCACCCAGGGGTGCTGTTTGCTGCGTGCTCAGTGTCTCCAGTCAGCACTAACAGATTAGGCTGTGTGCGCGCATGTGAGACCAAACTCTATGACGACATGTGTGAAACCTTTGGTTGATCCCTTCTAGCGCACAGATGAACCCGCTGAACTGTGCTTTCTTGCTTGTTTTGGCTGGCCTCAGGAATAATTTCACTTTTCTTCATCTTCTTCCTCTCTCTTATTTTGAATCTCATGTTTTTTCCATAGTTAACGCAGCCTCGGCTTGCCTTCTACATATAGTCTGATGCATTCAGTTTTTAACTCCATAATACTTAACAACAACAAAAACATGTCACAGGAAAACATCTGTAAAACATTTTATAAACTGAAATTGAATTGTGTACAGCAGGGGTTTTCAAACTGTTAGATGTGAAGGAGGCAAAGATTGGTGTAGGAGAAGGAGACAGGTGTTCTAAAAGCTATGGGAAATTAGTTATTGTAGTCTGACCCGTTGATTTGGCCCACTGATCAGCATGGTCAGCAGTTGGAGCTGCAGCAGTGGCCGGGACACACAGCTCATGGAGGCAATTAAGGTACTCTAAAACCCTTAGTGTCTAATTGCAGCAATTAGCATTAAGAATCACGCTTCTCGGATTCATTACTTTATTAAATATGACCCCAGAGACACGATACACATATTTTAGATTCAGTGTGACTTTTAATCTGGGATATCATTATCCCTGATTTCCTCCCATAAATCAGTTTAAAAATCATAAAAAAAAGGTTCTTTATAAGTCTAGAATCTGCCTGAGAATGATCAAGTTTTTAAGTTTTCTTGAGGATCAAAGCAATCCAGCGATAGTTGTCTGCCACACCTGATATACAGTAATCTCAGTCTCAGCTATCCACTTAAATGCTCATGATTTTTAATAAAAAGAAGAGACTTCCATGAATTTTACATTGATAAAAAATCAAAGATGTGAATATTAAATGACAACAAAATAAATATTGCCATTTCTTTGTTGTGACAACTCTCTCAAACTGCACTATCCATTTAGCTGAAAATAAGAACAAAACACACAAGCATCAGGTTTAAGCTTCTCAGAAAGATCAATGAAAGAAACTCTCCATCCAAAAATACATTGTGCAGTGGAGGAACAGAGGCTGTTCTGGACGTGGGGTGGGACTTTTGCTCTCGGTTACAAAATTGTTTAAGGTACAGGCCTGTAACAGAGTAATGAGAGCCATCCTTTGTGCCATTACTTTTACTGTATCTTTTAATTAGTGGCCACTCGTTACCCTTCTCCCCCTTTCTGACAAACACAAACAGTACTGCTCTTTTCCATTTTTTTGGGTGGCCTCAGTGGGGGGGTGAAGGATGAGCTGGTCTTCTGCCTCCAGACAGCCTCTGGCAGTGATGCTTCTATCAACCCCATGCTGGCAGACCTTTACTGTTGACTAATAAGAGCATCTCCCATATAAACTACAGTGCTCCTCCACAGCTGCTCTCTGACTTTGTGACTTGTCCTTTGTGTTTTGTGCTTTGTGTAACTTTGACTGACTTTGCTCTCATTGTACTTGCACAAATGTATTTTTCAAGCAAATCCTGACAGTGTGTTATTTTTGAAATCCCAAAGATCCACAGCTTTGTGGTTTTTTTTCTCCTTTTCTGTCTTTCTGTGTCCTTCTTTTAGTCTCCCAACAAGCCCACTGTGCCCCAGGACAAGATCCGTCCCCTGACCAGTCTGGATCATCCACAGAGCCCTTTTTATGACCCTGAGGGGGGCGCCATCACTCCTGTGGCCAGGGTGGTGGTGGAACGCATTGCCAGAAAGGTCTTTCTGTTTTCATACCAGTCAGATCTTGCTTTAAATATAGATACATGTTAGTTGTTGTAAGATAATGACCATAATACGAGCAATGGTGTAATGGATTTTAACAGATAAACACCCAGACAATCATACAGTGTTGACAATTGATATACATAATGATATACTAACAAGACTTGAATTGTACTGTACATATTACTGCAGAGGGCAGTACAGTGATCCAGTAATTAGTCCTTTTGTCTCACAGCAAGCCAAAAAAAGAGGAAAGGTTTGTGGTTGGGATGTTGAAATGTTAGCCTGATTGCTTTTTTTTCTCGTCATAATTTATTTATATTTTGAGATGATCCTACTGTACTTCCAGCCCAGGTCTTCATCTCCTCTTCACATATATGCTTAGTTCTTTCTAAGTATATTGTATACACTTTTGATTCTATGCTACACTGATACATCAGCCAAACTAGATTTACATAAAAATAGAACTGTCATCTTTTAATATCTGCCATCGTTGTGAAGTATAGATGCCTTTAAAAGCTTTAAAAGCAGGGACAAAAGGGAAGGGAGAGAGACCTTTTCTTTTTCGTTATCTCTGCTTAGCAGATGTGTCCATTCCGGTCCATCAATACAGCCATTGATCAGTGTTGGATGTACCTCCTGTATTTATAATGTGCGGGGTGGGATCAGTGTTTAACAAGATAAAATCAAACAAAAGTAAAATATAAGCTTGCTAAAATATAATTGATGTTATCTAAAGTCAGTTATTATTATTATTAGGAGTTGTAGCGTGTAACGTGCAGTTCATTGTCAGGTACATCAAACAATTCTACTTCAACATAGGTAAGGTACAATTGTGATGCCCTAATTTGATTGAAATGTGATTTCTTCAATTAATATATTAATGATTAGACCTGCTTAAGTGTTCCTTTACCACTATGTAAGGGTCATATTTTGACAAATCACCACCAGTGTCAAAGTTTACATGTATCAAAAATAATAAATTACATAATACCTCAAATGTGTAATGATCCAACTTCTAAAAAAACTTTAAACATTAAAATGACACATTGAAAAAAAAAAGTAAATTTAAACATTTATGGCTGATATTAAAATTCACTCTCTATGAAACTTTTTCTAATTATACTTTAATGGGTGGTAAAAGCACTTTCCCTGGGCTGTAAACCAGAAAGGGATAAAAGGTTAGCAGTCCTTCAGTGGCATCTAGAGGCAGCTGTGGGGATTTTGGAGGAATTATTTTTTTATCATTTTGCCATAAAACATTTTTCATCATTTATTTACACAAATAACACACACAGGCACACACACTCATTTTTATCTCGCCAACAGCCCAACATTTTGGCAAAAAGAGAGAAGGGCTTTTCAGTCGTAAGTGACACAACACAACACACCCACAGCCTGGCTGTTGTGTTTTCAGCACACACACCTGCACTGGTTAAAATCCCAACTAATAACCATTAAAGTTGTATTCCACATCACGCCACACTTCAAAAAGTTAAAAATGTGACCGAACTTCTGTACGGCCTCAGGAACACACAGTGACTCTCCGACTGACGAATGGTGTATCGATATAGCATAAACAGCTACAGTAACCAATTTAACAGAATGAATGAGGTCAAGTGAGCACACGCGTAAGAGAGCGAGCATGTAGTGTGTTTCTGTGGTTATTACAAATCCCCTCCGATCTGACTACAGGGCTGTGAGTCTAATGTACAGAGATTCCAGCTGTCGCTGCCTCTCAGTGTGAATATGAATCAGGTGCATGT